GAGTTATTAAAAACCAGTTAAGTAACGCAATTCTGAGCAAAATTTGTCTCCATTTTATTAAAATAGCAAACAAAATATGTTAAAAACTCTTTAAAAATTATAAAAATTCACAGAAATAAATAATTACATGACTTAGCTATCCGAGTAATTATGTGACGTTTTTTTAAAATTACATGAGCAATGCTGCAAATTATGAAAATCTTGTAAAGTTATGCTGATTTGAGACAACATTTCTGTTTTTTAAACAAAATTCTATAATTTTTTAAATATTCACGAATGATACCCCAATTTATGAAAAAACTGCGAAGGGATGTCTATTTCACACATGCCACAAACACGTTATGTTCTTTTTTAAACAAGATCACAAAAAGTTAAAAATATACACGAATAAAATGTTATTCGAGTAGGAAATTTATATTTTTTTTCATGAAAATGGCTACGAAACGAACAAAATATTCATGAGTTTATGTAGAATGTGAAGTTTCACGGCGAAGTACACACATTTGTGTAGTATTTTATTTTCCGTTGAGGTCCTCAACTTGAGGACGAACTACACAACTGTGTGTACTGCATAAATTGTTCTAACACCAAAATTTCTCAAAAGTAAGCTTATTTCTTTGGTCATTTGTGGCAAAAAGTGGATTTTTTCCGTTATTTTTCTTCACACATTTTGGGAATTTCCCCATACACTCTATATGATATAGACCAATGTTAAAAAGTGAATTTTTCGTGTTTTCGTAAAAAACTCAAGAATTTGAAACTGGTCGAAATAAAAATTCGGGGTGCGGCGTAAAGCCTAGCCATCCATAAGTGGTCGAACCACTCATGTGTGGCCGCACCCCTGTCCGCACCCCTGTCCGCCGCACTACCCTCAATATCCATGCAAAATCTACCGATCAGAGGGGGGCGCCGGCAATAAAATTTCTTATTTCTATAAATTTTGATAACTTTTAAGATTTTTAAAAGTATTTTGTTTGATATTTTAATAAAAACAAGACAAATATTAGTCAGATTTGCATCACTTAACAAGTTTTTGATAAATCGAAGTTATTTCTTCAAAATTTTAGCTAAAACTGTGGTTTCGTCCCTTTTTTCCATAAAAAAACATAAATTTATCATTCTCGAATATTTAAAAAAAAAATATATATATAATTTTGTTTCAAAAGCCAGAAATTGTTGTCTCAAATTAGCATCACTTTACAATGTTTTCATAATTTGCAGCAATGTAATGTTCCGTCTCTCGGACCCAGAAAACTATGATTTTAGTAAAAAAAAAAGTGACAAATTTTAGTCATATTTGCGTAACTTAACGGTTTTTTGATAACTGAAAGTCATTCAAATTTACAACCCGATGGTGAAAAGTAGATTTTTAGATATTTTTCTGCACAAGTTGAGGAATTTTCCCTATATCAACCAATGCTAAAAAGTGGATTTTTCGTGTTTTTCGTGGAAAACTCAAAACTTTGATACTGGTTGAAATAAATATTGTTTTGTAAATGTTGACACCACTTTTTGTTTTTTCATAATTTGAGGACGAGAAACTTCCCTTAACCTCTTTAGTGATACTAATTTTTACATAAAATTTCCCTTTGATGCGATGAAGATTTCATAATTACTCCTGCTAGCAGCGAATTTTTATTTCGACCAGTTTCAAATTCTTGAGTTTTTTACGAAAACACGAAAAATTCACTTTTTAACATTGGTCTATATCATATAGAGTGTATGGGGAAATTCCCAAAATGTGTGAAGAAAAATAACGGAAAAAATCCACTTTTTGCCACAAATGACCAAAGAAATAAGCTTACTTTTGAGAAATTTTGGTGTTAGAACAATTTATGCAGTACACACAGTTGTGTAGTTCGTCCTCAAGTTGAGGACCTCAACGGAAAATAAAATACTACACAAATGTGTGTACTTCGCCGTGAAACTTCACATTCTACATAAACTCATGAATATTTTGTTCGTTTCGTAGCCATTTTCATGAAAAAAAATATAAATTTCCTACTCGAATAACATTTTATTCGTGTATATTTTTAACTTTTTGTGATCTTGTTTAAAAAAGAACATAACGTGTTTGTGGCATGTGTGAAATAGACATCCCTTCGCAGTTTTTTCATAAATTGGGGTATCATTCGTGAATATTTAAAAAATTATAGAATTTTGTTTAAAAAACAGAAATGTTGTCTCAAATCAGCATAACTTTACAAGATTTTCATAATTTGCAGCATTGCTCATGTAATTTTAAAAAAACGTCACATAATTACTCGGATAGCTAAGTCATGTAATTATTTATTTCTGTGAATTTTTATAATTTTTAAAGAGTTTTTAACATATTTTGTTTGCTATTTTAATAAAAATGAGACAAATTTTGCTCAGAATTGCGTTACTTAACTAGGTTTTAATAACTCGAAGTTATTTCGTCAACATTTTAGCTAAAACTGTGGTTTCGTCCCCTTTTTCCATAAAAATGTAAATAAATCGCAAAAAATGTCACATAATTACTCGAATACATTCCATACGCCAGAAACATGTGCGCTAATAATTGGAATTGTGCATGCAAAATTGGATTTGCGTAATATTTAATCTGCACGTTTCATGATTGCATGAGCATAAACGTGGTGAACAAAACCTAGTTATTAGTCAGCCCACAACGCTGTCCGTATGACCGAGTGGACATGGCCTTGCCCTTCATACTCGCTGGCCCTGGGTTCAACTCCCCGTGGCGGCCACCTTTTCTTACTTCTTTTTGCACTTTTTTGCACTTTTTTACCCCCTTCCCCACCCGCCAATGGCCGCCAGTGGGTGGTGGTCGGTAGTGGGTGGTGCGTGGCGGTGCTGCCATCTAATGCCACCCTTCCGGCCGCCCCCCAGGGGGCGTGAAATGAATTTCACCGCACAATTTTGCACTTACGTATTGCGTGCATTCATGCAATGCATATGCATTGCACTGCATATGCATTGCACATGCATTGCACTGCATATGCATTGCACATGCATTGCACTGCATATGCATTGCACATGCATTATATACATAATTCATACATATTCTTTTATTACATATTTTAATTTCATGAATTTCATACGTGCATTTCATACATGCATTGCATTGCATTGTGCATTGCACGCAATGCATCGCATGCATGCATTAACTGGAGAGATAGCGGGGAAAGCAGGCCAACCGCCGCAGGCCACACTTTCCCCGAGAAATCAATCCGTGACGTCAGCAATCAAGAAAAAACCGATACGGGTAATCTGCACTTTCTATTGATACCTATCTACTTATACTGTCGATTAAAATACAGGTGATGACTACACAAATAAATCTAAAACACAAAATTAAAACCCGTTTAACGCACTTGAAAGATTTAGACAACGTATTGTCGGAATAACGTGAGCGAGTTTTAGTTTTTTAAGTTCGGGACGTCCCGTCCCGATCGGGATGGACCGGGACGGGACGACCATCGTCCCGTCCCGAAACCCGTCCGGAAACCCGTCCCGTCCCGAAACCCGTCCCGTCCCGAAACCCGTCCCGTCCCGAGATGCTTCGGGACGAAAAATCTTGTCCCGCCCCGAAAGATTCTTATCTCATAAAATTGAATAAATACGCCACATTGACCTTCTACCTTTCGGCCATTGCAGTCATCTTTACCTGGATTTGTGGCACGTGGATGTATTTAATTGCCCCATCAACGGCACCATTCCCTTACGAAGGTTTACCATCCTACTGTCAGGGTTGGATCGCCTATCTTCTCATTGGATATTGGTATTCTTTCCAAGTTCTAAGAATTCTCACAAATTTTGCCTTCCCAACGATTAGCATCATTCTCTACGTAATTTGTCTCTTTCCACTAATCACCAATCACTTAAGGGCCGATTTGCCGACATTGTCCCGGAAATTCGAGGAACTTCGGGATCCCGTAAATCTCAGTGTTTTATACCGATCTGCGGAAATTGGGCATAATCTATTCTTGGAAAGCAGCGGTTATCTCATAATTCCCGCACAATTTTTGGTCGGACAGTTCACTCTTTTGGTAAACTATTCTCTGATAACGAAATGGAGCGTGATCCAAATTCCTGCAAAGGGTGCGATGATGTCCACCTCGTTGATGGTGCAGGCGGCGTGGTTGGGTTTTATAACATTCGGGACGTGGTTTAACAACAATTCTGTCAAAGTGTTGCAGTCTTGGAAGAAGTTGCCGTGTAACGGTAAGGAAGCCAAGTACATGGCAAAGTTTAGAAAATCGTGCCGCCCTTTGTACATTGGGTACCCGGGGATGTTACGGATTAGGAAGGTGACAGTGCTGAAGTATGTTCAAGGAGTGACGAGAGTGCCTCTCGTCACTCCTTGGACATACTTCAGCACTGCATTCAGGGTGTTACTAGGTCTAAAAGATGAATAGGGTGAAAAATGCGTTTCAGGCAAGTAAATGGTCACAAAAGTTAGACATTACTCCTTCTGGCGGGGAATTTGAATAAATGTGAAAACCAATTTTGAAAATAATTTTTGTTTTTGAAGGGTCATGTCAATAGGTTCGTTTTTGTATATAAATTTAAATTGGTCAACAATGTGAAACGACACACCCGCCCAGCAACAATAAGCTTTGCCATCAGGCGATGAGGACACACGGATCAGTGCACTGGAAGATCTACGCTGGAGAGGACTCCCCAGGTAGGTTCTTGTTTGGTATTCTGGGGTGGTGACCATGGGGAGTGGTTGGGGGAAGAGTGGGGAGGGGTCGTCCAGGCGGTATTGGCTTGGGCTACGGGGGTCCCATGACCCGGTCTTCGTAGCGCAATTGGTCAGAGCCGTAGACTGTTAATCTAAAGGTTAGTGGTTCAAGTCCACTCGGGGGCGGCATATATTTTGCCTGTTTAAATATTCTAGCTAATTCATAGAATCCAACATAGTTGAATTTAGTATTAGTAGGAAAATGTATCGATGAATTAATTTGTGTTCGGTCAAACTCTTTTGCTCAATGAATAAGGCCCCAGAATACACATTTAATACAATGCATCATTAAAATGTTGATATATTTTTAGCAATCATTTGTTCTACTTCAACCACACAAAATTAGTTAAGTATTAGTTATAGTGTCTCAACAATCCGCCAGATTACCATTTTACATATGAACCTGCAGAAAATCAGTTATTTTTCTGTACATGTCCTGAATGCTTGTATCGGGCCAGCCATTATGTCCTCCTTGATATCTGGTAAATTCATTAGCAACTCCCACCGATTCCAATCGTCCTTGAAGGGCAGGCATCTGTCCAAAAGGGACAAGGATGTCAAGGTTACCATAAAATCCAATGGTTGGTGGAGTTGCTTCCTCTATGTAATTAATTGGACTGGTCTGATTCCAAATTTCTGGGAACTCTGCGCACGGATGAGGTCCAATCAAGGGCACTATTAATGGGTACAACAATATATTCCTGCAATATCCGTCGTCCATGAAATCCACAGGTCCAACATGAGATACAACCACCTTGACATCACGATTGTTTCGATCCCACCAATAACTGTAGAGCATTGCTAAATGCGCTCCCGCGGAAACGCCAAAAACTGCAAATGATAAGTCGGTAGTGAAGCTGGACTTCAAAAATGCAATTACCGCCTTAATATCATCCAACTGTTTTGGAAATCCCGGACTCTCTTCAGATCCTGGGGCAAATTGACAATTATAAATAAATAAAGAATTCAGGTTTTTAGATGGTACATATATTTCTGCATACCTAACTGGTAGTTGATATTGGCAATAGCATAATCTGGAAGTGCGGCGCGAAGAATTGCAACATCTGGATTCAAATCTTCTTTCCTACCCATCCACCACGCGCCACCATGAATCATTATAATGATTTTGTTTAACCGAATTGAATCATCTTCCGGGACGTACAAATCCAGGACTTGTTGTTCATTTTCTCCATACGGGACATCCAGGAGGACAGAACCTAGGGGATAATTAGTTGTCAGTTATCTTGGCAAATTTCCAAAAAATAAGTATATTTAGCCTCACATTCAACAAAACAAAATAATATGGCAATAAAAAAGCCAATACATGGAATTGAATTCTTCATTTCAGCAAGCGATAAGTAAACCAAACGGAATTGAGAAATGGAATAAACTGATCATTAGACCCTCTCCAGGTTTAATTGGTTTCTGAAGTGGCCGTGTCTACTGATAATCAATTTCGCAATGAGAATGGCACTGGAAAAGATTAGAATGGCGAGAGTATGGTGCACAGTCCGTGGATTTCCAATAGACTCAAGTGCAATCAAGGTCCAAGTTAATTACAAAATGCGCACAAAGTTATGCAAGAATAATAGGACGTTATTTTTTTGGGGGCTCTTTCGTTTCAATTTTATTGTGCATTTGGCACCGGTCTGTTCAGGGATTAGAATGACAAGCCTTCCCCCGGAGGATTTCCCAATCCCATTAAACTCCGCGGGTGAGGTGTATTTTTCGTCTGAAACTGACCTCAGGGGTTAATTCCCTCGTGGGCTTTTCATGAAGTCGAATTTTTAAATAATTTCTTAAAAATTATTTAATGTGGCTTTTTTACCGATTTTGTATTTTTTATGCTCACGTAGATTAGCTTTAAACGCAACATATTTATTAAGGGGTGAAAACCCCTTTATGGGAATGTCTTGACTGTCTGTCCGTCTGTCCGTCTGTCCGTCTGTCCGTCCGTATCCACGATAACTTTTGAACGGATGCGAATATCGAGATGCGGTTTTCGAGTTTGCGAGTTGGGGAACATAAATTTTGTGGTATCTGAAGGAATTTCATGTAACAAGTCAGGCTATTGAATTATAAGTTGTAGTTTCTACAACGGAGCTCATGCCACGTTGATTTACATCGCAAATAATTAGAATAATTACTCCTCATCATTCCACAACGGCACGGAGATTCTATATAATTGATTTGTATCTTATCTTCCTTCTGCAAACATTTGGTACTCTTGAGTTCATCTGGAATTCTTTGGAGTATGGCACCATACACTCACCACCATCGTTTTTGCCAATCCCCGGTGATTGCGATATTGATAATCAGTTGACACAATCACTTCAAAAACCAATTAAGCCAGGAGAGTGTCCCGTGAAATATTCACTCGATTTCTCAATTTTGCTTGGTTTACACATCGTTTGCAGAAATGAAGAATTTAATTGCATTTATTGGCTTTACTATTGCCATATTATCTTGCGTCGTCGAAAGTGAGGCTAATAAGTTCTTAATTTGCAAAATACTAAGGTAACTGATGCCTTTCTTTTTATAGGTCGTGTCGTCCTAGATGTTCCATATGGCGAACATGAGGATCAAATACTGGATTTGCACATCCCAGATGATGATTCTATTCGGATAAACAAAATCATTATAATGCTTCACGGTGGTGCGTGGTGGATGGGTAGGAAGGAGGATTTGAATCCGCATGTTGCAGTTATTCGCGAAAAATTGCCCGATTATGCCATTGCTAATATGAATTATCAACTTGGTAAGAATATAAAACCGTTTAATGACCTTAAAAATTCAACTAACCATCAAACTTCCTCAGGATCCGCGGAAAGTCCAGGATTTCCAAAACAGCTGGACGATATTAAGGCGGTAATTGCATTTTTGAAATCCAGCTTTACTACCGATCTTTCTATTGCTGTGTTCGGAAATTCCGCTGGCGCCCTGTTGGCGTTACTTTACAGTTACCGATGGGACCAAACCAGCCGTGACGTTAAAGCTGTCATGGCCCGGTGGATTTAATGGTTGACTTCTATTGCAAAAATATTATCGCGTACCCATTCATTGTCCAATTGCTAGGACCCGACACCTGCCAAGAAAATCCAGCACTTTGGAATGAGACAAGTCCTATCACCTTTGTGGATGAGAGGTCTCCTCCAACCGTCGGGTTTAACGGCAGTTTGGACGTGCTTGTTCCATTTGGGCAGATGGCAAGTCTGGAAGAAAAGTTGGATTCTGTGGGAGTACCAAATGCATTCGCCAGATATCCAATAGGTCAAACTGATTGGCCGGATGCGCATGTGCAAGATATGTTTACTATAATGGCTGATTTCCTTACTAGTCATTTGTGGGACTGATCGCTATATGAAAACAATGCGGTTTAGCTTATGAAAAAATGCTTATGGGGATGGATAATTAAATTTATTCAATTGATACCAAGCTATAACAAAATAAATCTAAAAATGTACATTTTATGTGCCTAATGACGCTATTCTTATTTAATTGCAACTCTTTCCACACAAAATAATGAAAATGTAATGGATTGTATTAAACATCAATCAGGATTAGGTTAAAAATTCAGCACTAGTTAAGAAACCTTAGTATTATATAAGTAATTGATATTACACCCATATTGGATATTGGTATTGGATATGACAGAGCAACTATCAGGGAGTAATAAAATGTACAAATTAGAAAATCCTGGTCATAGTCCAACGTTCCGACTCCGCCTCCTCGCGGAGTGGGAGGAGCTTAAATTGAGAAAAAATCGATCCGTCTGCGATTTTTAGCTCAAACACGGGTCAACATTTTTGAAAGCGGTTATCGCTAAAATGTGTCTAATTTTGTTACCTACAACCCTCTTCCAGCTTATTTGAAATTCTCAAAACCAATTTCAAAATTTTGAACTTTTTAGGTATGGGTTTTCAAATTTTTTCCAACACCACGAAATTTTTGAGAAATCATCAGAAAAATTATAACAAACATTGTAAATGGCGAAATTTCGTGGCTGGGGGTCCTACAGATACGATACAAGCGAAAATCTAATGGTTTGGGAAGGAATATTAAAACCATTTTAACCAACTTGTCCTTTCGTTATTCCCACCACTAAATATATCAAAATTTTGAAATTGGTTTTGATAATTTCAAAAAACTGTAGGGCTGAAAGCCTACACAACGCGAATTCCATCGCGTCGAATTAATTAATTAAATTAACCAGTCTAGACGAGGTCATAGACTGGCTTGGCCGTGAAGGCCAACTAAGTTAATGCGGGTGAGATACCCGCAGCCCACTATTTAAGGAGCGTCCGAGCTCCCATTTGGGACTACTATTTTTTTGACTCGCGACGAGTCAACTCCCATGCACATGTATGTATGATTTTCTCTCTCTACTAACAAGCCAGTGATTGGCAGCTACCACTGAGGATAGAGGTAGCGGCTCTGAGCCCCTTTCTGCAAACTAACACTTCTTACCTAAATAAATTTCTACTTGATTATGTATTTACTGTCCAGAGCCACCACCACTTTCCTGATTCGACTCCAGTCCACCGCATAACTCTTATATAGCACGAGTAGGACTCGGTATAACTAGAGTAGGTATGCACTAACAGCTCAGTTGAGCTCCCTCTCGCTCCTAGTCTCATCCTGCCTCAACACCACTGGTCCATTCTTAAATACTAGGCCATGCTTAAAAGCATTGCCATGCTTATTAACCTGTGAGCCCAAGTTCCATTTATCTCTTGGTTACTCACTCTCACAGACAGACACGGCGTTCTAACCGCTCGGTCTGTCTCTATATGTAAGTAGCACTCTCTTCCAACTCGCTCCACTACACAGCGTAACGCACTCGGTCGCGCTCTCCTGCAACCAGCAAGGGTTGCCTCTCTCTTCTCAGTGCTCTCCCTTACATATATGGCGCCCAACTAATTCTCCGCACGGAACCTCACTCCCCAAACACACAAGCACGGACTTTAGTACAATCTTTCCTTTGCTTAAATCTTTCATAAGTTAAGTTAACGACTTTTTCTCCGGTACGTTGAGATCACTCCCAACTCTCACTACCATACACAATCACCATGCCGTCCGACGACGAGGACAACAAAGCATACGGCTTTACCCCCCTTGCTCAACTCAAGGCTAATCTTGGAGGAGAAAAGGTTCCATTTGACGTGGGTAAAACGGTCCGCATCCAAACTCAGCCTCTTAGTAGTAGTCCTACAATTACCACACCGGATATTTCATCGGTTGCGACTTCTCTCACGCGAATTGAGAAAACTCTCAAAGCAGTTACGGACAGTCACACGTCCCTTGCCAGGGATGTGACTGCATTAGCGGTTCGGGTGAACGCAATTGACACCAGTCAAGCCTCCACTCATACTACTACATCGACTACACCTACAGCCACTGGTACTGTTAGCGGTAGCGGAAGCGGTACTACAAGCGGTAGAGGTCCTCCTACGGTTTCATATTTAAACGATTCCAGCCCTAAGCCAAAATATAATCCGTCCTTAATGTCGCCCGAATTTTTTCTCCAAGAACTTGAGGAGTATTTTGCCCTGCGTAATATTCCTCAATCAAACTGGTTGCTTCTCATGGGGCGAATATTCCCCCAGGATTCTGAGCTTGCTTCATGGTGGATTGCTTCAAAACCAACAATTAAAACGTGGGCTGAATGTCGAGCCGCGTTTATTTACTATCAAACCTCCGATATGAATGCTGATCTTCTGAATAAGCAGCTTTATTCCCGTACTCAGCGGTTCCATGAAGCTTTTGAGACATATGCCTGGGAAATTCGTGCCCTTTTCCATAAAGTTAACCCTAAAGTAACTGACGATGTAGTTGTCGATCGCATCCTAAATTCCTGCCTTCCCGAAATTGGTACCGGTCTTTCCGCGAACAACTACAAAACGGTGGTCGACTTAGTGAAAGGAGCACGTAACGTAATCCTCACTATAAATAAGATGCGCAGTTTCGAGCGTAAGCCACCTCTCCGCATCCGTCAAAGCGACCCAATTCCTGACAAGAAGTCCTCATATAGTGTAACGGGCCGAGCGCCGCATTACACTGCACATTCCGAGACGTCCTCAAAATCTGACTCCGCATCAGTCACTACAAGTGCAAGTGGTGACTCAGGTTCAACTTCTTCTTCCACTGCTCCTGCAAACCCGGGTCAGCGGGCTCCTGCACGCTCGGCTGCTACGTGCGGCTATTGCAAGAAACCGGGACACACTATTGCTGAGTGTCGTGCTCGGTTGCGTGCTGACGAGCGCAGAGCTACTGCTACTGCCTCTACTTCATCTGCTTCTCCGGGAAACTGCTAAGGCAGCAGAGAGACGGGGTTCTCTTGCTGCCTGCCTTCCTTAAACCACATACTACCCCGCAAGTTCA